GAGAACCTCCTCAAACCCCAACCAGGGACCCCCAAACCCCCTGAGAGCCCCCCCAGACCCCACCAAGGAACCCCCAAACTCCTTGAGAACCTCCTCAAACCCCAACCAGGGACTTCCAAGCCCCCTGTGTCCCACCTTCTTGGTGGGAGCTGGGGGTGACAGCCTGTCCCCGTGTCCCCAGGCGTGCACCGGGTGGAGGTGACCTACGACGACGTGGCGGTCCCCAAGAGCCCCTTCCGCGTGGGGGTGGCCGAGGGCTGTGACCCCAGCCGCGTGCGGGCCCACGGGCCCGGCCTGGAGGGTGGCCTGGTGGGCAAGGCCAACCGCTTCACCGTGGAGACCAGGTGGGCACCCGGGGTCCACTTCCATTGGGTGTGTCACCTCCATCCCATGCCACCATCTCACCACCTCCATCCCCTCCCATGGATGTGCCACCTCCATCCTCTTCCGTTGGTTGTGCCACCTCCATCCCATGCCACCATCTCACCACCTCCATCCCCTCCCATGGATGTGCCACCTCCATCTTCTTCCATTGGCTGTGTCACCTCCATCCCATCCCATGCCACCAACCCACCACCTCCATCTCCTCCCATGGATGTGCCACCTCCATCCTCTTCCATTGGGTGTGCCACCTCCATTCCATGCCACCAACATGCCACCTCCATCCCATGCCACCAATGTGCCACCTCCATCCTCTTCCACTGGGTGTGTCACCTCCATCCCATGCCACCAACCCACTACCTCCATCTCCTCCCATGGATGTGCCACCTCCATCCTCTTCCATGGATGTGTCACCTCCATCCTCTTCCATTGGATGAGCAACCTTCATCCCATGTGACCAGCTCCTTACCTCCATCCTCTTCCATTGGATGTGCCACCTCTGTCCCATGCCACCAACCCACCACCTCCATCCCCTCCCATGGATGTGCCACCTCCATTCCATGCCACCATCTCACCACCTCCTTCCTCTTCCGTTGGATGTGCCACCTCCATCCCATGCCACCAACCCACTACCTTCATCTCCTCTCATGGATGTGTCACCTCCATCCTCTTCCATTGGGTGTGTCACCTCCATCCACCTGCCATCAATGTGGCCTCATTGTGCCCCTGCCCCTGATGTGGCATCTCCATCCCCTTGCCGTGAAGGTGGCACTTCCAGCCCCCTGCCACCACCAGCCCCTTACCATGGAGGTGGCATCTCCATCCCCTTACCATGGAGGTGGCATCTCCAGCCCCATGCCACCAACGTGGCACCTCCAACCTCCTACCATGGAAGGTTCTCTTGCCATGGAGGTTCCATGTCCTACCACCAATGTGGCACCTCCAAACTCCTACCATGGAGGTGCCACCCCCATCCTCTTGCCATGGAGGTTCCATGTCCTACCACCAATGTGGCACCTCCATCTTCCTACCATAGAGGTGCCACCTCCATCCTCTTGTCATGGAGGTGGCATCTCCAGCCCCATGCCACCAACATGGCACCTCCAACCTCCTACTATGGAGATGGCACCTCCGTCTCCTTGCCATGGAGGTTCCATGTCCTACCACCAACGTGGCACCTCCATCTTCCTACCATAGAGGTGCCACCTCCAACCTTCTACCTGTCCCATGCCACCAACTTGGCACCTCCATCCTCCTACCACGGAGGTGGCACCTCTGTCCCCTTGCCATGGAGGTTCCATGTCCTACCACCAATGTGGCACCTCCATCTTCCTACCATAGAGGTGCCACCTCCATCCTCTTGTCATGGAGGTGGCATCTCCAGCCCCATGCCACCAACATGGCACCTCCAACCTCCTACCATGGAGGTGCCACCCCCATCCTCTTGCCATGGAGGTTCCATGTCCTACCACCAATGTGGCACCTCCATCTTCCTACCATAGAGGTGCCACCTCCATCCTCTTGTCGTGGAGGTGGCATCTCCAGCCCCATGCCACCTCCATCCTCCTACCATGGAGGTGCCACCCCTCCCCCCACAAGTCCCTGATTGGTCCCTTGTCCCCAGGGGCGCGGGCACCGGGGGGCTGGGCCTGGCCATCGAGGGGCCCTCGGAGGCCAAGATGTCCTGCAAGGACAACAAGGACGGGAGCTGCACGGTGGAGTACATCCCCTTCACCCCCGGCGACTACGACGTCAACATCACCTTCGGTGGCCACCCCATCCCCGGTGAGCTGTGGGGAAGGAGGGAGGGGGGGACACTTGGGGGGTGGCCGTGGGTCGGAGGTGGGTTCCTGGGGGCTGGTTGGTGGAAGGGTTTGTGCTGAGCTCCGTGGCTGGTGCTGGGGTGGCCTCATGGGGTTGGTGGCTCCATAGGGTTGGTGGCCCCACGGCCATCCTGTGTTGACCCCATCTGTGGACTGGCCCCATGGCCACAGCCTTGGTGGCCCCATGGCCATGTAGACCCCATGGCCACATTGACCCAATGCCTACATAGACCCCACGACCACGTTGACCCCATGGCCACGTAGACCCCATACCCACGTAGACCC